ATCTTAAAACCAGACAGTTTATCAAAAGGTTCACCAATTCCTCGGTTTGGCCATCGAATTCAATCGATTTTGGCTGGTTATGTACAAAAGGAGTTTTGGAATTAGATCGAACTTACGGGAAGACCAGCTCAGGATTGAATCGGCCAGTATGATTTGATTTTTATAACCTTTGTTTACTCCTCGCAGAGAAGATGTAAAAAAAATTAGGTTGACAATGACAAGGGCACACAAAAGATAAATTGCAATAAATCACCATTCATGATTTTCTCTTTATCAAGCATGAAAAATGGGAGATTAACCAAGTAGAGTGACAAAAAAAATAAAATAAAATAAAAAAATAAACCATAAGAATTAAAAGCTTGTTTGGTTTGGTGCATTTTGAGTGAGTGTAAGAAAAAATATAACAATTTTAAATTTTAGGTGTTTGGTTGTATGGAAAATAAAACCAAAGTAATTTGTTGATGCAGCTGGCGTCCGCCTTTAGTTTATTTTGAGTGTATTTAAAATTTATCGGAATTAGGTGAATTCTAAATCAAAGTGTTGTAAATAGAGTACTTTGTAACCAAGAAGTTAAACATAATTTATATTGTACGCATCTTGATTTAAAAGATTAACCTCTTCGGTTGAAATAGCCTATCAACTCGGTCATCATCAAAGAGTTAAACATTTAAAAGTTTAATATTTGAGGGAGGCAATGTTGCATCTTCATGCCTTAAGAGGAACAACCTTCTGTTCGAAAGCAGATACGTTGCGAATTCGGTGGCGATATGACATATGATTCTTATCGCGTACAAAAATATGACAGACATATTTAAGCTCAGCCCGATTTATGATGTTTTATGTTTAATTCAATTTGTCAACCCTTAAGTTTTGACCCAAGCGAGTTTAGCCCCAATTTGTTATGTTTCATAATCAAATCAAGCTTAGCCCCAAAATTATAGAATTTGGTATTCAATTTAAGTTTAGCCCACACAATTTATGATATTTCATATTCAAATTAAGTTTAGCCCCAGTAATTTATGACATCTTATGTTTTAGGTCAAATTTTAAATTATTTAGAAGTTCCTAATATCATTAAAAATTTCAGCAGCTTTCTGACATCAACCACCATTAGAGAGCACGAGAGGCCGGCCTTTCCAACTGTCTTAAAAGACATGCTGGTCAATGTCTTAAGACATTGGGACCAAGGAGCAAAAATATAAATTTAACCCGCGATCTTAAATTACGCAACAGACCGTCAATTTAGCTGCGCAAAATGTTAGATCATACATTAGCATTTCAAGATTGGTACATTAATTTCTTCAAACGGTACTTAATTCTCATGAACGGGTACACACTTTGCCGCGGACGGGTGTTTTAAAATCTCAATTTAAAAAAATTTTCCAAACAAGTCTGTCATTTTTCCCGAATAGTACTTAATTCTCCACCTACGGGTACTCACGCTTCCTCGAGTAGGCATTTCGAAAATTGCTTTATTGCCCCAAAGTTTACCTTTTCCAAGCTTCAATGTAGTTGGAGACGATGATCCATGATGATAGCGACGAGGTCAATAAAATAAAAGTTATAACACAAACTTTCTTCCTTTTTTTAATACAATACAGAACACAAACTATGAAACTGTGAGAAATTGTGTTCGACTCAATTTTAGGCTCGAGCAAAAGGCAGGATTGAACAAGATTAATTCCTATTTTGAGTTCATGTAACTGAGACAAGGGAGAAGTGTTAAGGGGCTTTGGTTGGATTGAAGAAGAGTGCTAGGGATTAGAGCATAGAGGATCGTCCGACTTTAGGTTTCGCTTTTGTGTGGCAGAGCCGATTCTGGAGTTACACGCGATGATCGAGGGGTTCAGCTTTGGCATCAGCTGTTGGGTCGCGTGCATAGGCAGAGTAGAGTGTACAATATGAATTATCCATCTGCCTTTATGGTTTCGGATAATAGAAGAAGGAGGATTAGAGTTTTGAGTCTTTGTACCATGATCTCGTTGTTATCTTCTCAATAAGCTCTAATTGTGATTGTATTGCGAGTGTTCGGACAGAGTAGTTCAGAAGGAAAAAAAAAAGATGGGAATTTCTGGTTTTTGTAGGTCGGCGATCCCATCGTCGCTTTCCCACTTAGTGCTAATCACGACTATCTTGCGAGAATATCAGGTAGGAAAGGGCAAGCAAGGGCTTCTGAAATGAGTTTTGGGTCTTTGTACGTCGACGATTCCTTTCTCAGTCGCGAGAGGTGGTGAGGGCTTTGGCTCTGTCGTGCGAGAATTGGAGCAAATAATGGGATTTCCACAGGTTTCTGCATATTACAACCTAAGAGCAAGATAAAGAGTTTCAAAGTATTTGTATGTTGTGATCTCGTTGTCAAGAATGGAAAAGAAGAAACTACACGCTCCAATCGCGAGCAGGGAGATGATCAAGGGTAGTTACAAAGTTGGGGACACACAACTTGTGTCGTGCATGAAGTAGAAAGAAGAGGAAGGTTTCATCATCTAAGAACAATCCTCCTCTCTTGCGCTTTCAAGTAGACATAACGAAAAGGAATCCCTAAGCAAGTTCCATTGTGGCTTTTAGATAGAACCCCATAAAATTTCTTGCGTAAACAGTTATGACGTGAGAGTGGAGGTAAGTAGGAATTAATTAATTGATTTATTTATTTATTTATTTTTACTCTCCTTTTCTTAAAAAAATATTTTAGAAGTCAACACTTGTCTGCCCCTCAAAACTGCTTCAACTCTTTTACAGATATATTTGTTTCAAATTTTATCTGGATGTGTAAAGCCATTTATCCACCTCAGCATTTCCATATCAACAACACTTAATTTTATGCTTCTCTTTTAAAGGCCAAAATTCCACGCAATAAAGCATTGTAGGTCTCACCACCTTCTCATAAAATTTTTCTTAAATTTTAAACGGTACTTATTTGTTACACAATAGGTCAGATGCATACCTCCACTTCAACCATCCTACTTGGATTCTACTAATAACATCCCTCATATATAACCATTACTTTGAACAATAAAAGATATAATTGAATGCATTTTAGGAAAAAGGTTGATTCCCCTCCCTCCCTCCCTCCCTCCCTATTACTCCTCCCAGTCCCCATACTTTTTTGAAGTAGAAAATATGGGTATACGGATGGAATGCTTATTGCATACAGACATCGCACGTAAATTTGCGCGGTGTCTGATCTCAATCACTGAAATACATCTCAATCACTCAATTACTCTACATTTTTTTACGGTCCAGATCGGATTTTGTGTGCGGTGTTCGCACGTGATAATTTTTCATACGGACGACAGTATGAACTATATGAATACACGACATCGCCTCATTAATCGAACTATTTTTATATTATCTCTCTTAAAAAGGCTAATAATGAAGCCACGATCAAACTTTATTAACATGACTTTTGTATGCAAGAACACTAAGTTCCTTAACAAATGTTTTTCTTATCTTATGAGTCATTTGCTCTATTTTTTATTGAATGTCCAATCACCTTGCATGGACTCTTTTTTATCTCCTCCACACATTAAAATAATTTTAATGCTTGATTCCCATATATAAAACACTCTATCAACATTAATTTCATTGTTCTTTGAACATAGAGCATGAATGGAACCATATTTAAAAGCCAATACTACAATCATGATTGAGCATATTTGTTCTTTGATCAATATATGTTTGAGAACATGATCATAACCTTTTTAGAAAATTTAGTTAAAACATTATTCGAATATTATTTTATCATTCATCAAAACTCGAGTCTTATTTTATCATCCACACATGTTCTAACAATTATTAAAGTAAATTTTTTTGACAATCTTTTTAGTATTATTTTGAATTTTTTTATAAAAATGATATTAATCTATTAGTTTAACACAGTTATTTATGTATGCAAATTTGTATTTATTTGACGGAGGAAATGGTGGTTTGGTAATTGAATATTTCCGTCTGCGTCGAAATAAAGAAAAAAAAAATCAACATTTCTTTAATATTCTATTTATTTATTTGTTATTTTTTCTCGATGGCTTTAATGTAAATTAGCCGAACATGTGCGAGCCTAGAGCTTATTTGTGTTAGGCTCATTAAATGTTCGGCTCTATTAGAAATAGCTCTTTAACAACGTGTTCATGTTCAACTATATTCAAATTAAAAAAAAAATATTTATTTTTAATAAAAACAGTTATCATGCTTTTACACCCAAATGTGCAAATTTAGTTCCTTGGCAAAGCTAGCTTTATGTCACGGACAAAAAGTCACATATCGGTTAGGTGTAGGGCCGAAAAGCAGTATTTAAATACTTGACTGCCCACCACCCCGAAGAGCTATTTTGGGAGGTGACAAGTGATATTAGAGCTGATTATTGTCTGTCAAGTGTGTGGACTCTACATGGTTCAGTGGGACCCCGGGTGGAGCTGATCCGTGACGAGGGCGTCGCGTGATTGAGTGGAGGAGAATGTCACAGACAAAAAGTTCCACATCAACTACGTGTAGTGTCGAAAAACAGTATTTAAGTCCTGGGCTGCCCACCATCTTTGAAGAACTCTTTTGAGAGGTGATATTTAATTTTATAAGCTTTTCTCAAATTGATTTTTTTTTATCATCCCCGTGTGAGACTAAAATAGTTGAGATGGCTCGTAGTGAAACGAAACAAGTGAATGCGTCATGGTTGGGTTGAAGTTGGCTTGCTCCTCTAAACTTTATTTTATAGACATTAACGCATACCACCCAAATTTTATGTACTTACATATCTAATGCTTAAAATTATATTATTTATAGACATACCACTGAAATAATTTTTAAAAATTAAAAAAAAATATTACATTTATTTAATACCTATAAAAATTATATTTAAAAATATAAATAGGTAATATTATTTAATTATTTTGAACTAAAATGAATCAAATAAAATAAATAATTTTTTATTTATTTATTAATAAAACTTAAAATATTGTTCGTATTTAACTCTTATTAAACGAATCTAATATTTAACTCTAGACGGCATACTGCATACCCCTTCAGCTACGGAGACTCGGACGCTTTGTTTATTCTTTAACCTCACCTTCTAATTGAAAAATACGACATTAATGGCCAAACGATCAGATAATCTAAAACACGGAGTTTGATCTGATGCTGAAACCACATTTCCCCGTCCTGCTTCTCCTCCTACTGATATCACCCCCACCATACCCGGCCGCCGGCGCGGGTTACGTCCTCTGCAACGGTAACCATTACACCGCCGGCGATCCCTTTGCGATCAGCTTGGCTTTCGTGTTCTCCGACTTGATCGCGAGCGGGTCGGCACGCGCAGGGCAAGACTACTACAACATCTCACCTTACCCCAACGCGTTCGCATACGGCCACGCTTTATGCTCCGGAAACCTCGCCGCCGGCGATTGCAGCGATTGCCTTCGATCGGCCGTCGGGGTTGTGAACGTAACTTGTCATACGGCGATCGGCGGCCGGGCTTCGCTCGGGGAATGCGGCGTACGGTACGAACAATACCCATTTGTCGGATAGTCTTTTGGTTTGGAGTTCACTGATTAGAGGATGTTGTTAGTGTTGTCGATGAACTGTTTGACGAATTGTCCAAAAAGGGGTATGGTCGGTTGGTATTGTTGTTGGGAGGTTTGGCAAATACCGAAGTGTGGTTGTGTGTGTGATTTCGCTTCAAGCAATGCTGTTTATATGTAGATGATATTATTATCTAGATGAATATGCATTTTTCTTAGTTGAGAAGAATGATGCTAATTAAAATGATCAATTTGATTATGATTTTTTTTTTTGAAAGAGAAACAAGCAATAATCAAGGTGATTCAGCACATAGGTCCTTCATGCTTAAGCTCGAGTTGTATTCTGATTGTAGTTCTCATGCCTTTCAATTTGTCAGATTCAGTTTAGATTGTAGTTGAATTAGGCCAAACCTTAATGATTATAATTAAAGAAATTATTTCAAATTTTATAAACAAATGTGAGTATACAAGAATTTTTGCTAAATTTATCTTGCTGAATCACACCCACCTGCCGAAGCGGCTGAACCAGATCCACTAGCTAAAATAGTTTAAGCGGGCCCACCTGGTTAAACCAAGTTCACTTGTCAAAGTGGTTGAACCAAGTCCAACTGTCGAAGTGGCTGAATCGAGCTCATCTGTTCATATGATTGTTCTCTTCTTTCTCAAAAGAGTAGATTAACCTACCTACATGAGGATAGTTATTGGTGGACGTCATCATGACTAATAAAAGTAATCATGACCAATAAGGGCATTCGTCAATCTTTTATTAAAGACATCGCCTAACACTTGAGTCTCAATCTTTTCACCCAGTAAACATGGATGGTTTTCGTATCGTCAATGTCTGATGTTTGACTGCAGTAGCACAAATCTCAAAGCAAAATGAAAGTACACGACAGATCAGTCAACAAACTAAACTAATTAATCAAGAAGAAAATTAACGCCAAGGCAAGGGGAATGTCACATGACTCTGTTGAGTCGTTTGCCTAGTTGACGGGTCGATCGACATGGAGGCCGAACGAAAGTTGCCCACATGATGAACCGAACGAGAGACATCCTATCGCTCAGCGAAGGAACGAACGAACCAGAGCTTAAAAATAAGTCAGAGGAACACTCAACCAAGAAGCCTTCATATTATGTTACATGGATCGACTTGTCAGTATCGATCGACTTGGGTCAATGAATAAGGATCGCTACCATCAACAAATAATTACTTATTAACCTATCTAAATGTACTGACTGAATGAACTTAATGCTCCTGTGTTTTTTTTGTATAAAGAGGGAACCTAAAGGTAATTATGTATTAAATGTATCTCCTATAACTATAAATAGGAGATTATTTAATGAGGAAAAGACTCTATGCACTCCTATTTTTATTGTTCATCTCTTATTACTCATGCAACTTCTTTCTCATATATATTCTATTTCTTGGGTGTGATTCTCAAATATTTTTGGATTTAACATTGTTAAAGGTACGGTGAGCCTAGAATCATGACAACAATAAGAAGGGGAGCAGAACACAATGGTAAAGCAATCGTTCAAGAAGCACGGAGCCAAGTAGTAGATGTGGACAACATAAGAAAAATTTTATGGCAATGGGTAAAGGAGATGAAGGAACAATCAATACTAGAAATGAGGGAACAAATGATAGGTGTGTTTCAAGAAGCTCTAGCTAGGGGAAGATGGAAACCACAGAGCTAAAACCCTCAAGAATAGAGTCGCCAAGAGCCCTGTCACCGAGATGGACCAGCGACCAACGACAAGCAAGATGGACCGATAACCAACGGTCATAAATCATAGTGAATAGAAGAAAGGGGTGATGATTCTCATTACCAGGATAACATTGAATCAACCCTGGTAAAAAAAACAGTGCACTATACGAACCATAGCCATTCTCCATGCTGAAAATGCCTTTTCTCGGTAAGTCTTCGAGGCAGCCCCCAGAAAAGTTCAATTCTACAACCTTCGTTCCCCAACTTCGATTCGTACAAACGTCTCATCGACCCGGTCGATCATATAGCCTCTTTTAAGTTTTCATTTGGAATATTGAAAATCACTAATGCATGTAAGTATCACTTATTCCTTACCACGCTGAGAGGGTTGGCCCTCCGGTGGTTCAATGCCTTCCCGACGGGGGTTATCTCCTCTTTCCTAGAATTCAAAAGGTTATTCGTGGCCCACTTCATGAGCGCACAAAAGCTGCGGAAGAAGTCCCAAGCTCTCTTACATCTCAAACAAAAAGAGGGAGAGACCTTTCGTTCGCACATCACAAGGTTCCAGCAGAAAATATTAGAAATTTAGAAGCTAGAACCCCTCATCATGCAGGCCTCCCTAACACATGGAGTAAAAAGTGAGCATTTCATGTATGCTCTTGGCTTGTGCAAGCCAAAATCAATGGTCGAGCTACTGGAAATGGCCTGCCAGCACATCACTGCAGAATAGTATGTACTCAACGATCAGGATGAGGCCCAGAGAACAACCACTGATACTCAGCCACAAAAGACTGTGCCAGTAGATATTGGTTTGTGGGAGAAAGATGGTCCTCACCCTTCCACTCGACATTGTTATCAGCACCGTGAAAGCCAGGGAAATGTTAAGGGCAACAATTGAGATAGACAATCTAGGTACCCCAATTAATGATCGACCTCATAATGAATGACCACAAGCGTAGCAATAACCACTTAAAATGAACACCGCCGTAAAGAAGAGTAGATTTATAATTTTGAGGAAATTACAAATTTACCTATTTTTTACTTTTATTTCAAATAAATTTTACTATAATTTCTTTATTAATGCATTTTGAATGATTTAAATTAGGTTTTTAATAATTTCAAGATTAACAAGTACTCAATTATCTTTTTTGGTAGATTTCTAATTTTATCAATTTAGCCAATTTTACTCAAATCTCATTTAATTTCAACTAATTAATTTCACCAATTCTCTTAGAGTAATAAAATTAATGAATTAAAAAATTTCATAAAATTATATGTGAACTGACCATCAGCACAGAAGAAGAGATGATACGATCCAACTAGGGCTGTCAAAAAAGCTCGTTGTTGGTGAACAGTTTGTGTTTGATTTGTTCGATAAGTAAACGAGTCGAACGTGAACAAATTTTTTTCATTAAGTAAACGAGTCGAACGTGAACAAATTTTTTTCGTTAGGTTAATTAAATGAACCAAACACGAACAGTGATGCGTCAATGAGTTCGTGTTCTGTTCGTTTACACCCCTAACTGGCCAATTAAATTTTTTTTTAAAATTCAAGTTCTTAACAATTTAATAATTGCAATTTTACATTTTAAACATTTTAGTTGATTCAAATTGACAATCCAATTGAATTATGCTATTCAAAATGTGCTATGAATCATTTCTTTAAGATTTGAAACTTTGATTCACTGTTTTAATCCAAAATTTGAAAATAAAAGGTTAGAAATGCAAATTGGCAATTTACAAATATACCCTTCCTCTTCCGAAGATGAGACCACCATTGTAATGTTTGGATCTTATGTTTCATTGGTTTTATAAATTTCCAAGAAGGATTTATGATTTTCTGACTTTTTTTTTATTTGTTTTATTTCTTTTATCAATTAATTACAAATTACAAAATAAACTTATATTACCTTATTAAATGTTCTTTTCTGTCCATGCAAAAATCAGGGACGCATGCCAAGGTAGAGCCTAAATTTCTTGAAATTTTGATTTATTTTAATTTTTAATGTTTTATTATTTATTTAATTATTTTAAATAAAGTCAAAAGAAATTGGGGGTTATTATGTTTTGATTTGATTTTATTTTTTTTCGTGTTTTACTGAATTTATAGGATTTTATTTTGTATTTTTGTGATTTTTATTGAATTAGTTATGAGTTTTCTAAGATGTATTCCATTCTCTAAATTATTTAAAACATTTAAATCCTAATTTCTTACTTAAAACAAGTGTTCTACGTGGTTAGCCAGCTCAGTACCGTGTCAAAGCTTTTTCCATGCATCGCCAAGCCTCTGGGTTGCTAATGAGAGCTCCTACTGTGTCATACTGATCTGGTGTGCAACTTCAACAGCATGTGCTCTCCGCACTCAATCTAAGCCGCCCATTTCTAATAAAAGAAAATATATGACATCGTTTCATCATCCCCACAAGGATGAATAACTGAGGCTGTCTAAACAAAATCATGTGATTCGTGTGTTTCTATTTTTGATCATCTGATCCTTCTATGTCCTTATGGTCATATCAAATGGCTAAGATCTAACTGCATGCAAGCTCATGTCACAAAGATTCCCAAACTGAGCCCTGAATCTAAGTTTTGATCCATACCACAATTTGTGAAGGGTCTTCTTGATCCAATGTGTGTATTACCTTCGGTTTGATCCTACAAACAAGTTCCAAGCTCTAATTAAAAGCTCCAAATGCTCCTTGCACAAATATGATTGCATCCATCCACTTGTTGGTGCAACAATGGGATAGAGGGTTCAAGATTGAGGGGATTTGAAGGTTCAAGAATGGTGATAGGATGATTTAATTGAGAATTTAGTGTGTGGATGATAAGTTTAAGGTATGCCCTGATTTGAGTAAGCTTGTGGTGGTGATATGGTGATTTTATGCATTAGAAACAATGGAGAAATAAAGGTTGTGGTGTTAGCTTAGGTTTATAGTTCAATTTGGCAGGGCTTTGCCAGAAATTCAATTACATAGAGTTTAAACCTAAGAGGGGGTAATTATAGGCTCAAGGGCTCAAGGGCTCAAGTTAGGCTCCAAATGGGTCAAGTGCACCAATAATTGGTGGGATGATGAGCTGGCATGGTCAAATAGGCTTGATCAATTAGGATTGGCCACTTGGATGGTCGAATTTAGTGTGTTAGCAATGAAAGCATGCCACTTGGTCTTTTAAAGTTGTGTATCTTGAAAGGTAAGTTTCAACGTAATTTGGGCTAGCTCAGTTTAGTTCCCTGAGATGGTTATAATAGTTAGGGAGGTTAAAGAGGTAGCCAATAAGATTAAGCCAAGTTTGAAGGTGGTTGATTAATAATTGAAGTTCTTGTAAGGCTTCTTGAAGTGATTCTTGAGTGGAATGGGGAAGAATTTCCAAGGCTTAGAATTTAGCTTGGAAATGGCTCTTGATTGGCTTGATTAGGCTCAAGAATATTCATAAGAATTATGGGCTTGGAAGTGTGCCAAAAAGGTTGGAA